CCCCCAGTGGGGTGAAGCCAGGAATGGAGCCAGGGGCTGAAGCCCCAAGCCCCAGCTCTCCCCCGCCCGGTCTAAAGCCCTGAGCCCCACTGCTCCCAAGGGTCAGAAGCCCCAAGCCCCCACCTCCGCCTGTAGCCCTGACCCCAAACACACCCTGCAGCTGCAGCCCCAACCCTCCTGTGGCTGAAGCCCCGACGCGGTACAGTATGTGTTTTTTTCGGTCTGCGCTGTTGCCTCATGGAGCACTTCCGGTTTCACAGGGTGTCCAGTAGACCAGTAAATCCATAACTCTGGTGTTCATATCTTTTAAATACAGTAGACCTTCAATGTTATATCATAACTTATTACAGGAGGCAGACATGTCATTCCCATTAAAACTTCTGGATTAAATGCATATGGGATTAAAATTTAAGAGACTAAATAAATCCTTAAAACAAAATCCCAACACACTTACTTGTAACTAAAGCTTTGTCTACACAAGAAAGTTACAATGGGGAAAAGGCCAATTAGAGGTCATGGATCCACCAGTTCCCTGCCTCTGCCCAGATACCTTCTCTGCATCAGTGAAGGAGTGCCTCTGGAGCTATACTCCATGAGGTACACACTACATCAATTAAAACCTTACAAAGCAAAGGGCATAGTTTACCCCAAGTATATTAATATCTTTACTGCCAACTGTCACAGTAGCTAGGCACTTCTTTTTTAAAAATTAAAGCCATAAACTATTGTGTCACCTGTACTCTGCAGAAAAGAAAATTTCTAGATCAAGTTGCAGGCTGCACCTCGAATTTTAATTTTTCCTATTTGGTCTGCAGAGGAGAAATTGTTTGGGAAAATCTCCAAGTCACCTATTTTTCTAACAAATATACTACTGCTCTGGAGAAGCTTCATTAGTTCAATTCATCCTAAACAAAGATGAGCAAACCAGTTAACCATTTCAAAAAATGAATCCTAATACAAGCCCCACATATTGCCTTCCTTTTAAACATCATCTTGTACTTTTTCTTCTCCAGAATAAACAGCTTCTAGTCAACTACTGAATACCTTGAACAAGTTATTTTAACAATACTTCAACTTCTATGAGACAGTACTAAGGGACACCATCACGGTGGACTCTAGTTATTTTCAAAAAGAAAATTAAAAATCAATTTCAGGTACTACAACTGTTCAAGTCCCCTTTCCAACTTTTGTGGGTTCTACAATCATTTCTTTAAAAGGTGTTTTCCTTTCCCCTGTTATTGGGTGAAATGCCTACTCAGATAAAGGGGAGACTAATTATGTTGGGGAAAATTAGTGCAAACTATTCGCTAACTGCAGTCAGAGTCACAAAGTAAAAAGATTTTTCCTCAAATTTCAGGTGTTATTTGTAACAATAGGAGGTAAAATATTTTCAGAGAACTGTGCTTTTTTAATTGACTTTGCCTCTGATATATTATACTTGCTGCTCTAAATTTACACTGGTTAAATGCCTTATTTTAAGATCTGAGGCCATCCAAAATCTTGATTCACAGGAGAGTTACATGTGTAAATTCCTCATGCTTCAACAGGTAAATATTTCCCAAATATAAAGTTTAAACAGCTGATACTCATCCATTTATGATTTCAGGAGAACATAATATAGGGGGTTTTTTGCACAGAGTATACAGTGGGCTGTCAAAATGGAATTCTGCTCACAAAAATCAGATCGAGAAGCAATTAGAAGCTGCAGTGGGGATGCAGAAAAGTGACTTTGCCTGCTGACAGTATTCATGGTAGAAAGAATAGCAAGTCAAGAAAAAGAAAAGCAAACTCTATAAAATGGAAAAAAAGATATGGAAAAGCATCTTACAGCTCAACCGGAATTTCTAAATGCATATTTATGTGAAATCAAGTATAATGCTATCTAGGCCCTGTTATATCGTCACATTACAGCGGTAAGTAGTACTGCTATAAACAAAAATGAATTGGCATTTCCTGAATAACACCCGCCACACAAATCCTATTTACGAACCCCTTTGAATTCAGAGTTACAAGTTTGATCCACATTTACCACATTTCTAGTAAAATTATGTTTGTGAAGAGGATACTTATGATTTTCTGCTCAGATCAAGACGACACTGGATTCAACAGAAGTCACTACTTAATAGCACTTTTACAGCTTTTTTTCTATATATTAACCACCACATTTTTGTGAAGCTTTCTATATCAAATAAAAATCTTAAGGGCTGGTGCTGGGGTAAAATAAATTTAGGAAGTGCTAGAAGGACTGAAGGGTCATATTCAGTACAGATAACTGGGGGTCACACACTTTGTAATACTTGTAGACAAAGGTTATTGCATTTGCACATACCAGGGGCTTCTTGAATTCCTTCATTCCAGGCCACAAGGTCCCCGTGTGCCATTCTGCCATCCATCTCTTTCAGCAGCTCCACACAAATTCCCCCAACCCCTCCCTCATGTTGGGACTCTGTGTACCCTCCTATTCTACCACTACAACCGGGGTCCTTCAACCTCCTCCCTGCCAGGGGTCTGTGTGCCTCCCACTCTCCATCTTCCCATACCAAGCTCCCCAATCTTCTCCCAAGGCCAGCAGTCAGTTCTTTGTGCCCTCCCATTACTCCTTCCCCCTATGTCAGAGGTTGTGTGTTCTCCCCACACCAGAGGATCCTGTGCACCCTCCCCATTCATCCTCCCACATTCCAGGATCCCCCATTCTACCACCCATAGAAGGGGCTCTGTGCATATCTGCTTTCCCCATTCCTCCTCTCCCACCATAGCAGGGTACCCCACACTTCATGCCAGAAGGGGTTGTGACCCCCCCTTCCCCCTCTCATTCCAGTGTCCCCCATTCACCCCACCCCCAAGGGCTGTGCTCACACTCCTATTCCCCCCACTGTTATTTTTCCTTGTCTGGGAAGAAAGTCATTCAAGGTATTAAGATGTTAAACTCTGCTGGGAGGACACACAGAGATGAGCCAGGGATATTGTTATGCAGGATGGCATTAATGGGTGCCATCAACCTGTTGTTTGATCTAGAAATAATTGCAGAAGTGCTTTTCTAATTGGATAGCTGAGACTCCATATGTCTGCCATTTTTCCCCTTTCATTTTCCCCCCAAATCACTAGAATTCTGGCATTTGACCCTTGGCACTTCTCCTGTTATTTTGGAATTGATCAGATGTGGTGTTCTAAACTTACTGCATTACTGAGAAACAGAGAAATGCAGGTTAGTTGAATGTAAGGGCTTCAGCCAATAAACAAGACAGGTGATGTGTTAAAGAAAAACCTGGAGCGTTCCTTCAATACACTTGAAGCAATGTGGGTAATTACATGCTGAATAGCGGTCTCATCATATTTTTTAAAAGCAAGCTGGCTCTTTCAAGATCAAAAATCTTCATAAACCAGAAGTTAGGTGAAGAAATGGAAATATCCCAGCAGAGTATCAGTGCTCACCATTTTCCTCCTCCTGCAGGAAGCAACTGCATGCCATACATGAAAGCCTTACAGTGAAGGAGGTCAACCTCCCAGCAGTAGTTAGGCCACCTCTTTTGGGAAGCACATGACAGTGTCCTGTAAGATGTGTCACCAGGTCACCCCAAAAAAGTTACACCCAACTGACAAGCTTCAGGTCATGGCCCTGTTTTATCACTACAAATCTCTCCTCTCTGTTTAAAGTCAAAGATAAAGCAGTTTGGGTGAAATATGACCCTTACAATGGCTTACTTTGCTCATTGTAAACATTAAGACCCTGAATCTCAGATGTGGTTTAATGGAGGCATTTCAGCCCTCTCTCGCTTTTCCTACTCCGAATTACTCAGTGAGACATCATCATGGAAGCAGCCTAGATCTATGCTCAAACCTGGGAGGCAGCAAAGGACGGAAGTCCATATCCAAAGGCCCAAACAGCCTGATTAAAAAGAAGATTACTTGGATTTCCACCCTATAACGAAATCTAAGACTTCTCTACTATTAATCACAAACAATTTGACAGGGAATTAATATAAACTGAGAATTTATCAATTCAGATCCTATTATGATTTTATATTTGTGAAATTTACTAGCTGCAGAAAACTATTAATAATGATTACAGAGGAAGACAACAGAGAATTCTAGGATGTCTCACACTTCTTGAGATTTAAATAAAAGGTTTTCTTCCTTCCCCAGGCCTGTTTTAGTTTCTTCATAACTTGCATTTTTCTCACCATAATCTAAAATATAATTGTAAAATTTCCAAACACCACACTCAAAGATGCAATGTGTTTCCATGTCTCTCTCCTGTCTCTCTTCCCTGCCTGAGCCACCCACAACCAGCATTTTATAGCACAGCCCTTTTCAAACTAAAAGTCTAAAACCTAGTACAGACATTTATATTTATCCCACTTTATACTTCCCTCACCGTCCTTGAGTATGTTCCATCATTTTCACCCCCTACCTCCCAACTGCATCATCTGTCAATTCATCGTTGATTTATATGGACAAATTTTTGCTCCTCCTCAGCCCAGGAGTAATTATAACCCACTTCTCACATGGGGAGCCTGGTACAACCCCGGTGTCCCCTGACCAGTGAAAGCTGGGCGGAGGGAGACGGGGAAGGGAGTGAGACACTCACTCGCAGAGGTCACAATCCCCCAGTACCCAGAGTTTGCGGTGCCCGGGGACTATAAGGAAATGACCACGCTTTATGCCGTGCAGCTAGACGCGTCCCCGCACAGAGAGGGGGCGGGGACACCACCCACTGGCTATGGGGCGGGCGGGGGGGAGGGGGGCCGGAGGAGAAAAAGAGTGGACCCATCCCTCTGATACATTGGACACCGGGCAGACAAGCGGGTTAACTCTTCACCGGCCCCGCAGATACCCACACGGCGAGGCTTCCTCCCCTTCCCGGAGCCCCGTCACACGCCGCGCTCCGGCCGCCAGACACATGGGCCCGGCCCGGCCCCTCCCCTCACACACGGGGGCCGGGCCGCGCCCCTCCCCTCTCCGTCCCGCGTCGCCCCTCAGCCACATGGGCCTCCCCTCACCGGTCATTGAGCTGGTCCTCGGTGCCCGGCAGCGGGTGCACCACGAAGTGGATCGATGTCATGTTGCGCTCCCCCCGCCCGAGGCAGGCAGAGGCCGGGCACACAATGGGGGTGGGGGGGAGCTCGGCGTCTCCCCGGGGCGGCTGGGGGCGCTCGCACCCGCAGGCAGAGTCCTTCCCTCACTACAGCGACGCGACGCGGAACGGGGTGCGGGGGCCCGCGACGGCAGCGCCAGGAAGAGACTTGCTCCGCGCCGCACTCACACACGCACCGCCATCTTAACTTCCAGCGGCCCCTTCTCCATCCTCCCTCCCCCCTCCTTGCGCCGCGCCGGGTTGGGCGGGGCGTCGATTGACCGACCGCGATGTAAGGCGCGCGCTTACTGGCGCGTGGGTGGCCCATCGGCGGTGTGTCTGTAAGGACGTAGCGGATTGGGCCAGTGAGTCTGTAAAGCGTGACTACGTCAGACGTGAAGTTCGTAGAGACCACGTGCTCTTGGGAGACGCTGCGGGAGGTGGGGGGTGGGGTTGCAGCGCGGGGGAGGGGAAGAGGGTGCGGCTGCGCGCCGCAGCCTGGCGGGGGGAGCGCGCGGCTCACTATGGCGGAGGGGAGGCCCAGTGTCCTGCGCGCGGCTCATGGCGGCAGCTTGAGGCCTCCCTCTGGCCTAGGCTGGTGTGTCTGGGCGCTGGGTCCGCCGCGGTCCTGCCTGGAGGGCGGTGCCGGCACAGACAGGTCGGGGTTCGGGGCCTCCGCTCTGCATCTGCCTCGGGCGGCGTCTGCCGGGGAACGCTGGGAGCCCAGGCCCGCGACGGCTGGAAGGCGCTGCCGCACGGGAGTCTGCGGCCCGTGAGGGGCTGGCTGTCCGCAGCAGGGGCCGGGCTCACGGTCCCCTCTGCCCGCCGGCGTCTAACCTCCACAGGTGCTAACTAACGGCACTGACAGTGGTGTCTGGGCGCTTAAATACTTGTGAGTGGACCAGGATAGCGATTACAATCGCGTTTGCCAACTAACCACTAGCTAATACAGCCGACAACTGATTCCAGAAGAGCCCTACGCTCTGTCTTGGGGTGTCTTGAAGACTTTTCCAACCAACAGGGTAGCAGGGAAGAATACCCTTTCCTTCCTTGCCCCAAGCAGCTGTGGCCAGTTTAGCAGTCATGTGAGCTGGACTGGGAGGGTGAGACCGAAACATAACTAAAGCGGTGTTAAAAGCCATCCACAGCTGCTTTGGAAAGGGGAGCGATATTCAATCGTGAGTGTGGGGTTTGAGCCTGAGATGTTGCCTTCCCAAGTCAGCATCTAGCCTAAGTTTACTGTTGCTGTATCCATTTGTAAGGATCGATAACTGCAACTAAACTTGCAAAGACAGCAAGAGGGCTACTTTCACCAGCACTAAATTCAGTTGAATCGGATTTCCCTCCCCACTATTACAGACTACATGTATTTTCATCTTGTGTAGACCAGTGCACTGACTTGTCACAATTTAAAAAGCATTTGTTTAAAACATTTAGATCACTAACACCCTGGATTACCAACATGGAAAATTGTAGTTTACTTGGTCAGCAGTTACAGTGCTTGCTATTTTGTTAGTTTGATCCAAAAAAGTTTCACTTTGGTTTATTTTTGTAATTGATCATGCTTCCACACACCAGGACAATGTTGCCATGTGTAGTTGCAAAATCACAGGGCTTTTTAAAAATATATGCATTTCTACAATGGAATAAATGTGTGGTCTCCTAGTCAAGTGTGCAATTTCCAACAGCAGCCAGAGCTACGGCGTTCAGAGAGTGGTTTATGAAGCCTGCAGTGAGCATATGTGCAGGGGAGATTCCACATAGTTCTCAGCCTGATCTGTTAAGTATTGACTTAAGCCTTAAAGCACAAGATTTAATATCCCGTTCCAAAAATTATCTTTAATGATAACTGGATATTCTTGATCTCTATGAATATCCAATCCTTTGTATATATTAAAACAACCTTCCTCTAGCATTTAACAAAAGGGTGTTATAAAAATGTCTTTACAAAAATGAAGTTTTGTCCAACTCTTTAACATCTCATCTACATAATGATTATAACAGTCTTGGAGAGCCCAGTTGTAACACTGGTCAAAATATATATCAAATTATTGTAAGATAGTGATTCACTATTTTCAAGAGAATAAGTAATGATAGATACGGTCAATTTCTCAATAGGCTATGCATTTCCACAACATTTCAGATACATAACCAACTGCACTAAGTTATAACAAGTGATTCTAGATCAGATGTCTGAAGAAAACATTTAAAGATTCCCTGAAATTGAACATTTCAGAAGTATTGATAAGATTATCTTAGTGAAGTCTGTGGTTTGATTTTCTTCAGTAATGTCACAAATTAAAGAGCAGTCTTGGTTACATCTTAAAGTTCTCTTCTTTTGCCTTTCTCCATCCTTTTCACTCCTGCACTGAGAGAGAAATTTCCTTTTTTGTCTCTTCCCCCTACCCCCCTTTTGAAGTGCTCACACTTCAAGGAGTAGGGGGAAATGTTGCAAATGGATGACTATAAAAAGAAAGCACAGTGCACCTGATCATTTTCTGGAGAGATCTGGCCTTCTACTAGTTACAGTGGACGAGAAGCTGGATATGAGTCAGCCTTCTTGGCAACAAGGGCACATTGTTAACGGCATATTGGGCTTCATTAGTTGGAGCACTGTCAGCAGATCGAGGGAAGTGATTATTCCCCTCTATTCGGCACTGGTGAGGCCACACCTGGAATGTGTTTCTTCAGCAGGACCACTAACTCCCCTCCTCTGCTGATATCTGGGAGGGTGTGGGGTGTCAGACCAACAGGGAACAGAGAGAGAGAGAACACATCTCTGCTTTGGGCATAAGCTGTCTTCTAGTAATGCTACTATGTTGTTAAAGGGAGCTTTCCCTTAGTGGAATGCGGGTGCTGCAGTGAACCTGAGCCCTCCAACTCCTCCCAGTGACAGGTTGGTCTGATCGAGCTCCCATACTTCTCCATCCCATCAGTTGTTTGTGGCATTAGCCTGCCACTGCTTACCAATCTCCCTGAACTTGGTGTGAGGGGGAAAATTCAGTAGTGTGCTAACAGTGCTATATTATATACACCTCTACCCTGATGTAACATGAATTCGGATATAACGCGGTAAAGCAACGCTCCAGGGAGGCCGGGCTGTGCACTCCGGTGGATCAAAGCAAGTTCGATATAACGCGGTTTCATCTATAATTCAGTAAGATTTTTTGGCTCCTGAGGACAGCGTTATATCAGGGTAGAGGTGTATTTGCTTTCTCTGCATTTCTGTTTTTTATAATGTGTAATGTATGGTATTGAGGATGTTATCAATGCTAAACAAATACCTGTTCTAAGGAATGAAGGCACAGCACAGTAGACCTAGTTTCTATTCCTGGGACTCCCATAGATTTCCTGTGTGACCTAAGTTCTGGTAATAAAGTTAGTATCCACTTGATTTCCTCATTGTATGTTTGACCTCATCAGTCTGTCAGATCAAAAATTCAGGAGATCAGCTTGCTTGGATAGCTTGCTTTTCAACAGCCTATGTGAAGAATTTTCAGTTGATCAGCCAGCAGCACTACTCCTGAGGGAATTATGTGTCACAAAATTAAAAATTCTGCACACATTTTAAAATTCTGCAAATTTTATTTGTCAAAATAACACAATATAATCACATCATTTCAATTATTTTGGTAATTTATTTCAAAATTCCTGTCAGCAAGTATGTCTGTAACGATACAGATTCGGGAAATGCTTTTTCTCAAGTAGATTCCTTACTAAGCATATTAGCACATTTATATGGCTCCACATGAGCGAGCAGGACAGAATCTCACACACGTGGGTGTGGATGACTCAATGGGGGATCCAGGTGTGGAGAGGGGATCTGAATGCACAGGGGCTCGGTGTGGGGTTCAGGGTGTAGGAGGAATAGGACTTGCAGGGAGGTCCAGGTGAAGGTGGTTGGAGATCTGCAGGGGGGTCTTGGGGGAGAGTCCGGGTGCTGGGGGAGTGGAACTTGGTGGGCTCCAGGTGTAGCTGGTTGGGGCTCAGTGGGGTGGGAGTCCAGGTGTGGATCGCTTGGTGTGGTGATCCAAGTGCACGGGTTCAGCAGTGTGGGGGTTTGAATGTGTGTAGGGGGGCACAGAGGGGGATGGTCTGGGTGCATGGGTGGGGGTCTGGATGCAGGAGGGTGGACCTCGGTAGGGGTGGGGGCAGGGTCTGGGGGAGGTTGGGATGCACCAAGGTTGGGCAGATCCCTGTACTGTGACCCCTTCCACCCACAACTGGGAAGCAATGGAGGCAGGAAGCGGGGGGCAGTGCGGAGCTTCCTGCAGCAGCGGGAGGTTCCTGGGGGTGGTCTGACTCGGCCCCAGCAGCAGCCCATGCAGGGGAAGAGGAAGTCCTGTTCACCCACAGCCCAGCCGGAATTAACAGCTGGAGGCCAGCGCATGATAGGAGCCACCAGCCCGGATGTCCCTGGCTCTGAGCACATGGCAATAGTGAGCAGGAGGGATAGAAAGAGCCAAGCTCTGCCCCCTGAGGTGCTGATTTACATCTTCCCCAGCTGCTTCTGACACCAGAACCTGATGCATCTCACCTCCTCCCCCCAGACCACTGTCCAGGAGTTTTTTCTGCAGGAAAAGAGTAAATTCTGTGGGGGACATTAAGGGAAAGTGTGGGACCCTTACTGAATGGGGGAGGCAACCCAGTGACAGATAATATGGAAAAAGCTAAAATACTCAATGCTTTTTTTGCCTTGGTCTTCACAGACAAGGTCAGCTCCCAGACTGCTGCACTGGGGAGCTGCCCTCAGTGGTGAAAGAAAAGGTTGAGGACTATTTAAAAAAGCTGGACATGCACAAGTCCAGGGGTCCGGTTCTAGTGCAGGGTGCTGAGAGAGTTGGTTGATGTGATTGCAGAGTCATTGGCTATTATCTCTGAAAACTTATGGTGAGCAGGGGAGGTCCTGCACGATTGGAAAAAGGCAAATATAGTGCCCATCTTTAACAAAGGGAAGAAGGAGAATCTGGGGAACTACAGACCAGTCAGCCTCACCTCAGTCCCCGGAAAAATCATGGAGCAGGTCCTCAAGAAATCCATTTTGAAGCCCTTTGAGGAGAGGAAGATGATCAGGAAGAGTCAACATGGATTCACCAAGGGCAAGTCATGCCTGACGAACCTGATTGCCTTCTATGATGAGATAACTGGCTCTGTGGATATGGGGAAAGCACTGGACATGATATACCTTGACTTTAGCAAAGCTTTTGATATGGTCTCCCACAGTATTCTTGCCAGCAAGTTTAAAAAAAAG